TCTGCCAATGACCCGCCGCCATGTTGAATGTGCGCGGAGGAGTTGCGCAGTAGCGATATTTGGCATTCCACTTTTTAGAGGCGTAGGCTTCATAATATGCACTAATAAAGTCTGATTACTTTATAAAATCACTGCCTGCCATCAATATTAACTGATTATTGCACGATTAATAATTATTTCTCCGATTTAACCACCTTTCTCACTGAAAATCCGCGGACGAACGCCAAAACCTCCATTCTCTGCCAGTGGCCGGCCGCCATGATGAATGTGCGCGGAGGAGTTGCGCAATGGCGAATTTTGGCTTTGCACTTTTTTGAAGTCTAGGCTTCATAATGTGCCCTATTAAAGTCTGATTTTTTGATAAAATCATTGCCTGCCATCAATATCAACTGATTATTGCACGATTAATAATTATTTCCCAGATTTAATCCCCTTTCTCATCGAAAATCCGCAGTAGAAGGGTAATAGCGCAAGAGAAAGTGTCAAATCGCGAGAAAGAGTGGAAAAGCGTAAGAGGCATGAGACAGCGAATGTGGTATATTCACCAAACCACCCCTTCTCCATGGTCTTCCTCAGAACTGAAAGGTTATATTTAAAAAATTTATTCCAAAAAAATTTTAAAGGGTTCTAGGGGATGAAATTTATTCATGTTTTCATGGGGTTTTATATATTTTAAATGGGCCGCGGGGCGCGGATAATTAGGCACCCTGACCGTCGAGCCTCATACAGCCCTGGTCAATTATCTTATTTTGACATTTTCTCTGTTACCGACCGTGTAAATTTTGCTATGAAGCTTCTTAGTCGACCGCAAAATTGTGGGGTCATATGTACTACAAAAAAAGTTACTAAATAACCTCGTAGGCCGGGCCTTAAGGCTTAACCCCACAACGTTACTTAGTTGAATACGCGTAGTGGGTATCAAAACATTCATAGGCAATATCAAATCAAAGTTAATTTTTAAAATATTTCTTTTTCTATATCGTTTTGATTCAGTATGTAAAATCTTCTCTTGCTATTATTTGGAAATGAATATATTCATTTGTACTACTTTTAAGGTTATAAGTGATCCGTTAATAATTTTCGTTTGAATCATCATTGGTAAATATATTCAGAATTACTTCCGTGTAATACAACTAAGGAAAATGGCTAAGAAACCAAATAGTGCTACGCAGAGATTAAAGCAGGATTATATGAGACTGAAAAGAGATCCAGTGCCATATGTAATTGCCGAACCGAATCCATCAAATATCCTCGAATGGTATGTAATCATGAAATTTGCAATCAGCTAGGGGAAGATGAGGCAAGATGAAACATTTGTTGTCGATTAATAATTCCATATTTCTGTTTATAAACTAAGACACGACAAGATACTAAAAATTCGAGTACATAATAAACATTGCTCCTATTCGCCCCACTCTACTGCTAACGATTATGTATGTTTCAGGCACTATGTAGTTAAGGGACCAGAGAGTACTCCATACGATGGTGGTTTTTATCATGGTAAATTAATATTTCCTGGGGAATTCCCCTTTCAACCACCCAGCATCTACATGACAACGCCTAATGGTAGATTCAAAGTCAACACTAGATTATGCCTATCCATCTCTGATTTTCATCCCGACACATGGAATCCAGCATGGAGTGTCTCAACAATTTTGGCAGGCTTACTAAGTTTTATGGTAAGAAATTATGTAAACGTAAAAATAAGTATATCATATATATTTATTTATTTATTTACATGTTCAGATAGAGAAGAGCCCCACCCTTGGCAGTATCAACACAACTGATTGGGAAAAGCGACAATATGCACATCAGAGTTTAGAATTTAATTTGAGGGACAAAATGTTTTGCGAATTATTTCCAGATACAGTAGTGGTGAGCATTGAAGTTGTAATTTTAAAAATTGTTTTTCTCCAAAAATAAACATTCAAACATTGAACAAATGCTAAATATTATCATTATTTTTTTTTTTTTAGGAAATTCGTAATGAATTAGAACGAAGAAAAGAATTGGACCAACAAACAAGACACCAGTCAACAACATCAGAAATGTCGTCCTTACTGCGAGAACAATTCCAGAGAGATCAAAGTCCGTTGAATGGCGCTATGACAAATTTAGCAATAATAATTGGTTTTGCAGTATTTGCCTACATTGTTAAATATGTCCTCCGAAATATAGCGTGGGAATGAATTCAATTCTACTATGATGATTTAGCAACAATAATAGAATCTGCTACAAGTACTGGATTTCTAAGATGTGTTTCATTTTAATAATTGCTATAAAGCGTTGTTGCGGTTATTCATCCGTACTTGAGCTTCTATTTTCTCATTTAATCCGAATTTCTTTTCAAATCTCCAGTTTTTCAGTTCAACTTGAATTAAGGTTATCATTAACATCTTCATATGTAATGTGAATAATTTATCATTTGGTGACCAATATATGAGAAAATGTCACTAAGTATTGACTAAAAATTGTATGATGAGTTCTTCCATAAGAACCGGTTTACCAAAGATAAGAGCCTCTCAAGTGTCTTGCTCGAAGCTTACACCGATTACCTCATTCATCCTTTTTTTTTCTTGGTCTTTTTTTTTTTTTT